TTGTAAGCCGCCCTGAGTCCCCTCAGGGAAAAGGGCGGCATATAAATCCCAATAAACCTCAAACCTCAAACCTACATGTTTTGATTAGTTGAGAGAATCGTGACTAAAGTATAATTCTTACAGCTTGAAAATAAGGTATTCTATTTTGGTTACTTATAATGTGTATATTCATATTCTTATAATCCAGTCTATTCACGGCAATTGGAAAAACAGGCTGTTCATATACAGAAATCTCCTTTGAAGACTCCGGCCCCACGGAGATATGCTCCTATGCCTGTATCTAAAGATGCTCAAATTTCACAAAAAATGGCAAAGAAAGAGCTGTCTTTTGGAGAGAAAGAAAATGCGTCTTGTGGTATAACTCTAGGTAAGGAAAAGGAAGATTCAAAACCTGTTGTAATGTTTCCTTTTATTTGGTTAATTGCTCATTTAGTATGCTAATTGTAGAACAATAATATAACATCCTTTGGATTTTTCTAGCCTTTGAGAGGAAAAACACTTTACACTTTCTAGGTTTGGGAAAAGTTTAAATGAAGCCTTTTTGCTATCTAAAGAAACTAGCATTTTTATAAAGGACAGAATTTTGTACATGCAAAAAGATATTGCTCCTCTACAAACTTGACGTCCCAATCTCTTCATCTAGATCAGTGGTAGATAATCTTCTGAGCCATATTTGCAATTTTGAGAGTAATTTTGTGCTCATTATCAAAAAAATGTCATGTAAGGAACTTTCCTATTTTTAAAACGATGAGGAAGTAGAGGGATTCGATGTCCATTTACATTATTCTGATACCATCCCACTTAGTTGGACTCATGGTGGATATTACAATATAAATAAGAATTAAAAAAAGAAAGAATGCTAAATTAAATTAGCTGCTGACTCTGCAGGTCAGTTTTCTGCATTCTAATTGCCTGCTCAAATAAAACAACTTTCCCCTCTCTTTTTTATAACTAGTTTTACCTGGGCAGGTGGCACATTCCCATGCTGTAGTCATCTCTCACTTGTCATCATAGAACATATCTGGGCCTCAGATACATTGTTTTAAATGAAAATGATGTTAGAAGCTAGCAGCATATCAGCTTCTCAGTTTTAAAAATGATGACTGGTAATGTATCTTTACTGAATTTGTATCCAATCCAGAAAAAAGGCGTTGACAAGATACTTACAACCTTTATGAGCTATTCCTGGCATATCTATCAGCATGCCAGTTCTCCCTCTGTTTATCTTTCATTATTATCTTTCCATTCTCTTTATGTCACATTTGCAGGGTCCCCTGGATATAAGCACTAGCGCTCATAAGTCCAGCAACCCCCTTTTTTCTTCTACAACACTTTTAATTAGCCAAAATTCCCTTTTCCAGTTCAGTCTATTTTCTTTGTATACCAAAATATTCAATTAACACTGCTATGTATTGCTTGTTTCATCTTCATTGCATCTAGGATTTCTTCAACTGTTCCTTTTTTTTGTCAATCATTATTTATGTTTCTCATAACACCCTGCTTTTACTTCTTACATAATCCTCAAATCTAGACACCCTCATATCCTATGTAAAGTTCTCAGATTATTCTTCTGTTTATTGTGTAAATACTGCACATCTCCTAATTGTATTCTTAACTGTTCCTTCTCTTTACTATTTCAATTCACCACTCCTCCTTGTATTAAAAGAAATATTGTAGCGGACCTGCCACAATAGTTAGTTATGATGAAAACCCTATAATTACTAAAGTTACAACTTTTAGCTTGACCTATTGAACAAGCATTTTCAAGTATTTTCAGTTGTGTCTTTCATCTTTAAATTACCTTAACTTTTAATATGTCAGTGTTAGGAACCTCTTATGAGTGGTATTAAAACAGTGTTTCCAAGTAACAAGACTGTGCTATTGAAGCTCTTTTTACTAGGTTTACTTACACAATGGGAACTACATAGAGATGTCTTTCCTGAGCTTTCTTCTTTGTAATTGTTTAGAAAATGAATAATGTGCACTCTGTTTAAATTCCATGAATTCCAATTAATTCATATCCAGTGCATTTTATGCTCTGTTCTATATTTATACATGGTGATTATTACATAAACTCTTAATTTGCAATTTGACACGTAATATTTTTTCAAATTACTATGTATTGGCTAGAAGGTTTTTTTCAGCATCATATTAAATTATAGCATGCTTTTTTCCAGAGGAAATACAGTGAAATATGCTTATGTTGATTAAAATGCATGCCAAGATATCAATTCTAAAACTGAAAGCGCCTGTCAAGAGAAGATTCTAAAACAGAAAATGCTAATTCTCTCAGAAAATAATAAGTACTCCTTACTGAAAATGCATAATCTGTGTCACCCTCCCCCCCCAACCTCTGAATCTTATTTAAATATATTGCAATATATGGTTGTGTTTTTTTCCTCCACTAGGTGGAGGGAAACTTCTAGAGCAAATCCTGAAAGCACATGAAACTACATTAAATCCAAGCACATCCTCAGAAGTAACTAACCGGGCAGTGTCATGGCATTTAGGGAGTGAGCAGTAAGTATTTCTCTAGTTCAGTGTTCCTCAACTTCAGTAGCTAGCTTTAAGATATGTGGACTTCAGCCCCTGGAATTCCCCAGGCGGTTTTAAGGCTTAAATTGCTGAGATGGAGAAACACATCTCTATTTACTTCAAGTCATTAGCTTTTAAATGTGATTGAAAAAAATCTGATTGTGGGAAAACTCTTCAACATTAAACATAAATTGTATTTTACTTGATGGATAAGCAGTATTACGATGATTTAAGTGTTACGTTTACATATTAGGGAAATTTCACAACTTTTTTAACTGGAGGAGAAATACGTGTAGCTATTTGAGTTTATGTATACCAAACAAGGTAAACTTCATATACTGTCATCTGTATGGGATGGTATTATAGTATGTAGCCTTATAACTTTTGAAAGAGCAAAGTATCCGGAGGTTAGTTGGTTAAATGTGACTGATTTAGAAAATCTCAGAAGATAAAAATATTTGGAATCTCAGTAAGGATTAATGACAATTTGAAAAAAATATTTTTATCCAGCATACCTCAGACAGCATTCTCTGTATTTAAAAGCGCAAATGAAGATCTTGATTCCATTGGGAAAACTGTGAAAAAAGCAGATGATGTGCTTCATGATCTTGGGCAATTAAAAAAGGAAATGCATGATATCCTGCAGGTAAAAATGCTTGTGTGTTGTGTATTATTGGAATAATTAATAGGTAAAGAATCTTGGCATGCACAGATATTTATTGTGATTTAAAATATTGCTTCATAAACATCTTCCTCGTAAGCACACAAACTTACACACAAATGCTATTTTGTAAGAAATGGTTATAGTGAAGACCTTGAACAATTTTGATCTGTATTTATTTACAAAAAGAAAGAGAACTTTTACAGATGTTGGTAAACTTCAGCTTTGGTAAGCTTTCGCCCCCATTAGCCATGCTGAAATTATTGGAAGTGTCCCAAAGGTGCTTTTTCAAGAGACTTCAGACTTTCTTGTTTTCTTTGAAGACATTTAGCTTCTCATCCAACATTTTGCTTCTCATCGCATTCTCATTCTTCTCTGAGCTGAAGAAGCTTTTTGAATAAGAGGTAAAACATCTTCAAAGAAAACCAAGAAAAGTCCAGTTGCCTCTTGAAAAGGCACATTTAGACATCTATAGACATTTAGTTATGCGCTATTGGAGTTGTAAACTACCTGAGGATGGTACTTTGCATTATGAAGAAAAGAGAACTCTCTATAAGAAAAGAGAAACTCTCCATAATTCATAAAGGGATGATGAGAGAGGAGGTACCAAGAAAACTGCAGGTACTTGTCCAAGAATCAGACATGTTTGAAAACATAGCTAGGACTGCTCTATATGTACTTAGACATTACTAACTGGGTCACACATTGTAGTAACCACAATATAGTTCGGTTTTAACTTTCTGCAATGGATATAGCCATCATGGAACCCCTCCCACTTAATTTTGTCTTTATTCACCTTATATCCACTAAACAAGTGACTTAGTGCAGTGTATGCATTAAAAGCAAAAAAATAATAATCAAAAATGGACTATATTAATACATATTGAACCAGAGGCAATTCAGGCAACCAGAAACAAAAATAGGCTCACAAAACCTCCTGACCCAGGCTTGGTGAGAAAACCAGGTCCTTAGAGAGCCTTGGGTCAGGGCCATCTAGATCTTGGAGGAAAAACTAGTCCACAGGGCAGGCATAGCAGCAGAGAAGAACTGTTTTCTGATTCCTCCCAGATAACCCTGCTTTGAGTGAATGGGCTGGAGTAAGCTAACCCTATCAGATCTTATTGGGCAGCTAGAGGTAATTAAAAGCAAGTGGTTCCACAAATAGGCAGGGCCTGTGCCATGAAGGGCATCCTGGGTGACATGCAGTATCTTAAATAGGACTCTGAAGCCGAATGGCAACCAGTGCAGCTTGTGAAATAGTGCTATCTGAGCATAGTGTGCTCATTATTGCATTTTAGACTAGATACAGCTTCTGAGTAGTTTAAAAACCTGTTTAGAAGTTGAGCATGTTAGTTAGACTTAGCATCCAAGAGAATAAAGAGCGGTTTATAAGTATCTTAAATAAACAGATATAACCCCTCAGTGAAAGAATGTTACACAGTTTTCAGAGGATTATAAATCGTATAAATAATTGTCTTCCATTGTGGTGCAGAACTGTAGTATATCTGTGCAAAGATCTTTCTATAACGCAGTTTTTATACTTTACAGGATGCAAAGGACTGGAAATCAGACATGAACAATTTTGTGAAGGTTCTGTTTCAGTTTATTTCTTATTCCATATATTCAATGGGTCTTGATTTGAAGGCGCTCCTGCTGCCTCATTTAAATGCACTAAAATGCAATAGAGTAATTGCAGCATAGTATTATCATGTGTTTGAATTTTTATTCCTGCAATTAAATTATTAGTCATGATGGCTGTATACTATTTCCTATATAAAAAGCATTAGATATGTCACTCAGTTTACTTCCTGTGAAAGTTCTGTTGCTCTCAGGCTCACTGATTGACTTTCCACTGGATTTGGTTATCTACTTTAGGAACAGAATGGTGGGCTAGACAGGCCTCTAATTTTATCTAGCAAGGTTTTTGTGTTTTCATTTTTAAAAGATTTAAGAACATGAAACTGCTGAAATTCACTATATTGGTAGGTTATGTCGAAGTTTATAACTGGGACTGGATTTCAAATATTTCACTTATATCTGCCAAGTATGAATTGCTTGTTAGATACATCAGAATTTTGCTCCTTTCAACCAGTGCAAGGCTGACAGGCCAGATACAGTAGCAAAGCAAATATCAACACATCAAACGATTGTCTAATATCCATGCTATGTAATTAAGACAATGTGTAGTTCACCTACATGCTACTTCTCTGTACCGTAAAAGAACTGATACTCTAGAAGGGTTTGCAACTGGTTTTCTTTTAGTGTCGTCTTCTGTCGATAGCTTTCATTGTTTTCTTCATTAAAATATCTGTTTAGAGGCATCAGTTGTCTTTTCTCTTAAACTGCAGACAACAACCTCATACGCAAAAGAAGTTGAGCAAAGGAAAGACCATGTCTCTTCTCATCAACCTGTCCCCTCATCAGAGGTCCTTCTCAAGATGCCACCACAAACTGAGGTATGACAGGGAGCAACCAGGTAATGGGCTCAATTACGGACCCTGGATGTGGATCCCTAAGGTTCAGGTACCGTTGCGGTACAGTGCTCTGGGTGGCCCACTCTCCTGCCCGAGCTCCTTACCTGTCCTTTAAAGCCTTCAGTGCTTCTGCACATGGCGCGTACAGTGCCTGCGCAACGCTCCGCCGAGCAACTGGAGCATCGCGGAGGCTTGTGGAGGCATTGCTGGCAGGTACAACGCACGTGCGTGTTCATGTGGAGGACGCCGTACCCAGTTGCAATGGGATCCAGAACCCACCACTGAGTAGGACATATAGTAATGGACTTCTGCTGTTTCTTATAGGTTAGTGTACTTCTGTTCAAATTCTTCAGGAATATTTATATATGTTTTAATATCCCTAGAGAATTTGTCATGTAATAAAAATAGTGTTATTAATTTTATAACTGCTCTATATTACAGGAGGTTCCTATTGGCAATCTCCTTGGATGCTTCTCTCAGTTTACTTTTGTGCTAGTATCAAAAGAAGCTCTTATTATGAATTCACTGATAGAAGAGGGATGCCGTATTATATGGCAATAGAGAGAAGGCCATCTTGCTTATAGACCTCAGCTAAGAGTGTCCTCTACTCACTGAGCAGGCTAGCATCAACCAGTAGTTTAGTTTTCAATACAAAAATATACTTCTCTATTATACAAGGCACTTAGCTTAGCCTTTTAAAAATGTTTAGATTTTTATTGCACTTTGCTGTTCCTACTGACTATATTACACTTCAATATCAAGCAATATATTGCAAGTTGTAAACATTAAAATGAAGAATTAAAATAATATTTAGTTCTTTTCAAACTGCATATAAGAATTATTTTATTGTAATTATTATTATTTCTTCTGCTTTTTTCATATTCCCCCCAAAAAGTAAGTCCTTCTCTGATAATTAAAAATTGAACTTCTTGCATAAAAAAGGGGAAGTGAGTATTGTATAAGTACTCTTTGCTTGCAGGTGTGCTTCTTAGGTATGCTACAAAATCTGCCAATTCTTCGGAGCAGATTCTAAAAGCATAGAAGAAACTGTGGCCGCAGCTGATTTACCATCTTAATTTGTAGGGAGCGTTTATAGATAAAATTCAACATGCCTTGCATTGTTAGATTTTAGTGACATTTTAAAATTTATTTGGATTTCAGGAAAGAAATCTTCTCGAACTTCAGCAACTTTCCAAAGCATCAATTGTTCAGTCAAACAAGGCATCCAAATCTATAATGAGAGATGCTGAAAAGATCCTAAGAACAGTGCGCAAGAATAAAAGGCTTCTTGAAGAAAACCTGGAAGCCATTATTCGTGCCAAGGATGCTGATGCTTTGCATGCCTTCATAGATGAATTGACAGCAGATCGGTAGAGTTCTGTATTTTGAGTTTGCATTTTCTTTGTTCTAGGAATATATTTCCCCCCTTCAGAATTACAATCATTTAAAATGGGCTAATATGAATTTTGTTTCCATCCTTTGTAAGGGAGGTTGAGGATTGTGGACAAATATAAAATCACACACCACTTGTATAGTAAAATTAACCCCCCAAAATTCAAGTCATACCATAAACATGAATTAAAAGAGCTACTCAACCAACTCTTTATCTATGCCTAGGAAAATGTTTAGAAACATTTTGATCTAAAGGTGAAAAGTGTAAAGCCTTTGCATCCCTGAATTTCTGAAGATAAGTTTGTCACATAAAGAAACCTTTTATTTTGTGGATTTCCATAATAGATCAGTGAGATTAAAAGCTCCTGAGATCCAAGAAGGCATGATATTAATCCAAGATTGTTTTTAACTAAAAGGTTAAAATAAATAAAAGGGAGATAAGTGAGAAGCAGGCAATTGGATGGCCATAGAATTACAGTAAATATGAGGATGATATGATGCCATCATACAAATAATAAGATGGGATCCTTGTATTGGGTGGTTGTACTTGCTTTATTTATCTCTGATAACTTGTAGGAAGTTTAAAGTTTGTTAAAAAGATTTTATTCATAGGGGTGGGTGGGTAGGAGAACTTAAAAAAAAAGTTCAGGACTTCATGAATACTACTATGTTGTCCATCTGAATAGTTTAAGGTGTAAATGCACACACACAAATTAGTGCTACTTCTAACTTTCTATGTCTTTCAACTGTATGAGCTTCAAACTCTTTATTAAAGCAAAGTTTTTCACTTTTGATGATATTATCCTCTAATTTTCTACTGCTTTTCCTCTCTTCTAGAGATGTACTAGAGGAAATAAGGATCAGGAAGACAGTAGATGAATGGATTAAGATAATGAGCATGGAAATTCAGGTGTGATAGAATGGTTTGTGGCAAAATACAACTCTGCTAAATGATTTTCTAAATCTTTCCCAAAGGAAGACATTTCACATTTCAGTTTTCAATTTTTGCAAATGCTAACAGACATACGCTAGCTGTCTCTAGTTTTTGAATTCAAGGTCCTCTAACAGCAAAGTCCTTACCTCTTGATTGTGGAAAATTTATTGTAGAACTGTCCATTATCTGTGATGTCTCCCCCAAATGTAGCAGATTATGCTAAAGATTGCCTAAGTTACAAACTGTAGACAAATAAGTTCTCCCTTACCCTTTCTTTGGACTGATTTGAATGCTTTAATATATACAGTTGAAGGAAATACCTACTTTTGGAGAAAAGCAAAGTTAGATTAACGATCTTGTGGTTTCACTAAGTCATTAGATAACTGTCCAGATTGTTCTTTTCTTTTAAAAATAGCAACATTTTGCATAGAAAATTGTGCAGTAGCAGAATTTAGCAAAGTTGTAGAAGTGCTGCTTATTTGCATAGCCTTTATGACAATTTAGACTGCAGAAAATTGGTAGAATGATAGGACAGAAACCAGTAAAAGCAGTGTACTTTCTTTTTGAGTCTTCAGCATTTTTTTAAAAAAATACATACAAATTTATTTTACGTCATTGTTGATATTAGGCACACACCCTTAAATCTATATGATATTGCAACATAATACCGATTGCCTTCCTTCCTATGGATACTGTCAGCACTATTGTTGAAAGCATTGCTCACACATTAAAACTCTATCAACCTTTGTGTTAATCTAAAAGCTATCATTTTATTTCTACTTTTACGTTTTCTTTTTAGGATGAAATAGCAAGGAAGGACTACCTCAAGGCACAACAGACCGTCAAGACATCCAGCAGAGAAGCAAATGCAAAATCTCATTATGATCAAAGAATTCCCCCCAAAAGAGTTTTGCCTACAGCAAAGCCGTCTCCAAAACTGCCAGAAAAAGTGAGAATGCCTTATATGGGAGCTATGGTGGGCTAAATCTAGTTCAGGCTGGAGTCAGCAGAGGCCATTTCATCAGGAACTTCATGAGGATGAGGAATTTGCCCCTTGCACAGGCTGTCCTCAGGTTACAACAGCAATTGGGACTGGGATTGCCGTTCCTAAACAATGTGGTTGTAAAGCATGATGTCAGGCAAATACATCACTTACCAACAGCAATCCCACAATCTTGGTTGCCATCATAACTTAAGTGGAATGAGGTAGGAGTCTCAGGCAATGAGTTCAGTGGAACTGCACAACAGAGGTGGTGTTCAGCCAATTCTGACAGGTTCTGGAGCACTGGTAGCGGAAATTTTGAGTAGTTTGGAGAACCGGTAAATACTACTTCTGGTTGGCCCTGCCGCCATCTATTCACTACCTCCCAAGTCCCAGCTGATTGGCTGGGTCTTCTTTTGTTGCCCTGCACAGAAGAACGGAGCTGCAAAGCAGATTAGTGGGGTGGGGTGGAAATTGCGATTTTACAGTATCCTTCCCCTGCCATGGCCACCAAGCCACACCCACCACGCCACACCCACAGAACCGGTGGTAAAAAAAATTGAATACCACACTGGTGCACAGGTGAATGCAGGTGGGCCAATGCACCATGAGTGAGCAGAGCGTGCTTGAGTGGCCACACGCAAGAGAATACAGGCTAGTTAGGGGGATGACGCTAATTTCGAACTGTCACTGAGCAAGTGGTCATGTTGACAACAGTTTTTTCTTATCCGCTAGATCTTTAGCAATAATTTTGTGGACTTTCAGTTGAAGTAGAGAATAAATGCTCTAGGTGCCAAGAAAGCCCAGCCTTGGTGCTTCCCTGACTTTGAACAGTCACTAAACGAAAGATTGTAAGTCAGTTTAGTGACTGTTCAAAGTTACAGCAGCAATGAAGAAGTGACGTAGAACTGTTTTTCATCCTTCTGACCGTTGCAATATCCCTATTATCACATAATCAAAAGGAAAACAGTCTTTTACAGTCCTCTTTGCAATGGAATATCTTTAGAAAATGACAGCACCAAAAGGAAATATATATTCAGTGCGTGTGTGTCTGTCTGTATGTTTATATATATACATACATACATACTTGTATGTATGTATGTATGTATGTATGTATGAATGTATGTATGTATGTATGTATGTATGTATGTATGTGTAGATTTTCACGGGTGTAG